GGGTACAAGGGAAGCAGGGAGAGGTCACTCTTCAAACTCAAGTGGCCAGGGAATACCTCTCTGAGGGGGGACATTTGAGCAGAGGCCGGAGGAAGAGAGGGAGACATGTGCCTCTCTGGGGGAAGGGTGTGCAGGCAGAGAGAACAGGCAGGCAGCGGCTTGCAGACAGAACGTCCGGTTTGTTCTAAGAACAGGAAGGAGGCTGGTGTGGCTGGAAGGGAGTGAGCAAGGGAGCGAGGGCTGAGCCATGAGCTGGGAGAGGTGACAGGGGTCAGAGGACGGCCACGCCCACAGGAGGGTAACACACCCACCTCCTTGGACTGTTACAAGGATTACATGAGTTACTCCCATTGAAGCCCTCAGAGAAACAGAGCAACGTCTAGCACACAGAGCATGCACATGATACACGCTGGTACTGGTGTTATTATTACTGCTACTTTGTTGTTGTTTGGTCTTCAAGACCAAAGAGACAAGGTAGGCTCATCCTCTCGCCAGTGTACAGGTGGGGAAACTGAGGCTCAGAGAGGAAAGGACCCTAGCCACGGTCCCACTGCTGTTCTCAAGACACAGCTATGGGGTGCTCCCACCCCAGATCATGGGAACCCTGGGTCTCCTCCCCTCTCCACCACCACCTCCTCTAGACCTACTTTCCCTGGAAGTCCTTCTCAGAGTCTAACTTGGGGAGACATGATATTGTGAAGCAGAAAGAGATGACCCCTGAAACTCGAGGCCAGTGACTGTTAACCGTACTGGAGTCCTTGAAAGGAGCTTTGGTGGCGCAGTGGCTAAGGCACTGGGCTGCTAACCAAAAGGTCGGTGGTTTGAACCCACTAGACATTCTGTGGGAGAAGGAGGAAGCAGTCTGCTTCCATAAAGATCGGCAGCCCTGGAAACTCTATGGGGGTCGCTATGAGTCAGAATCCACTCGATGGCAGTGGGTTTGGTTTGGAGCCTTTGAGAATCTAATGATATCTCCGGACGCTCCCAGATACATAAATCCTAGGCCCAGAGCATTGGGCACGGACTGTCAGGCACCCTCAGGAGACCTCCCAAGCCCGTCGTCTCTCCGAGGCCCGCTCTCACAGACGTCCCGTCAGACACACTTGTCTCTAGACCGGAGCTCTTAACTTTATCTGAGAGGTGATTTGGAGGGGCTGAAGAAATCTAGGGACCCATTCCCCCGGAAAATTCACACCTTTGCAACTGTGCTTTCATTCTCAGAGGGGTCGGGGGCCCAGATTAGTAATCCCTGATCTAAATGTAAATGAATCGCTGCACATTTCTACGTATCCCTCAACCCACGACTCCCAAAGCTGTGCCAGGCTGCGCTGGCCCCGCCCCGTGCGAGCCTTCGCTCGCTCCCAGCCTCTCGCCGGCCGCGCCATCAAGGTTACCGAGGTGTCAGGAGCCCCCAGCGCTACACCTGCGGCACGTGCAGCTTCGCCACCTTCACCCAACTCCGCCCGAGAAGAGCCGGGAAGTAGAGGGCCCGCCCCGCCCCGCCCCACCGCCAAGCTGGCCCTCCTTTGCCACTTCCCCACCTTGGCTCCCTTATTCCCACCCAGCAAAGAGCAGCCCCGCCCAGGGTCAGGGCCTTTCTTTGGACTCTCGCGCTAAACTCTTTAGCGCCCCCACACCTCAGGCCCCTCCTTCACGCCACTAACTTCACTGCCCCCTCCTCTCTTCCACGGGTCCCCTCTCCGAGCGAGTCTGAGTCGTAGAGGTGCTTAACAATTACTGATGGAACAAATCCTACCCCGCCAGCTCGACCCTCCCTCCCTGACCCAAGCTCCCCATCACGCATTCCTCAGAGGTCCCAGGGGTTCTGGGCGCTCCTTCCCCTCCCCTGTGCAGAACCCCCCCCTCCCTAATCGGCTCTGCTCCCCTGTGCCCGCCTCCCCCACACCACGTCCCTTCGGCCCATCTCGCTCTCCCAGACTGGGGGGGGGGAGCCTCGGTCCCCTTCTTACACAAGCCGCCCCCCGTATCCTACCTGGATTCTATCCCCACTATTCCACCTGGTTTCTGCCCTTAAAAATCTGCCCAGGGTTCTAGTTCACACTCAGCCCACTTTCAGCCTGTCATCACCATATTTCACCTGGATTCTGCTACACCCCCCAAAGTTCTGTGAAAACTCCTGCACACACATTTACCCCTCTTCCCTGCGGTGCGTTCTCCCCCAACACCCCCTCCCCACATTTCTGGGATCCCCAAGGCCCTGCGTACCCCTCCGCCGGCCAAGTCCCTCTACCTGCATCCTGCGTCCTCACTCTGTGACAGTAGCCCATCCTGGTCTCTGGTTTAGTCCCAGGCCCAAGTGTCTCCTAGCTGCTCCTCTCCACTTCAGCCTCCTGGACCCACCTCCTACCCACCCCTAC